AAGAAGAGGTACAGTAACAAGAGATGAAAAGAGAAGGAGTAAATATGAAGAATGAAAGAGATATAAAGCAAAAACGAGAAAATGATCAGAAGAGTGTTAGAAAGAAAAAGGAGGAGGAAAGGGGTTGGATATGGCTGATTGCATGAATTAATAAACTTTCCCCAGAGTGCTTTAATATTTTTGCTACACTCTAAGGAAATGCAAACAACAGCCAGGAAAGACTGATGTTAGATTTTTTATCTATTGCTTAAATATGAGTAAATATGTAAAAATAAAACTGCACCGTCTGGTTTTCTTCTCTTAATTTTGATTACATTAGAATCTTTTTTTTCCATTCCTAGTTTCACATATTCCTTGCTTTAATCTCAGAGATCTGGTCACCTTAGGTTTTGTTTAATGGCTTCCTGCTAAGACTATTTTATGTTGGTAGTTATTTTGTTTTAGTTGGTGTTACGAACATTTACTGCTAATCAATCTATGTACTATTTGCAATTTTATCCTGTTGCTAATGCTCACTTTTATTGTTTTTATCTCATTTAGCAGCCTTTGCTTAAGAAGAGTGAATTAATGTGGTTGTCTTTAGTGCATGTGCGACTATTTTTATTGATTTCTAGTTAGTGCTATTAATTACTGCTAATCCTACCTAATAATTTCAACTATGCTCTAGTCCTTGATGTTTACATGCTTTAAAAACAATTTACAAATTGTTGTTTATATTTTTTAATTGGTAACAAGCAAAGAATATTGTCATTGCTAATAATATGTTTTAAGAATGATTTAGTATGAGGAGGCTAGTGCAAAAATCTAAATTGAAGTTTATTGTGTAAAGTCCAGAGATAAAAATCATGAGTTCTAAACATTAACTATTTTTCAGTCGTTAGGAATGGTTGAGTAATAACCTGGAAATATCATCTAAACCTAATAAGGGTTTTGGAAATATCTGGATTTCCCAGTTACTGCAGTGTGTAGCATGTAACTGCAGCAGAAACATGTCACAGAATATCAGTCAATGAAAAGAAAGGGGCTGACGTTAGCTCTCTCCTTATTCCAGTAAGACTCTAAAGACATAATAACGAAAAAGAAGGCTTGAAAACAAAATGCAGTTAAATTTAGTTATGACCGTGTCTTTTACACCAGTATGGGTTAATTTATGTCTATATGTAATTTATAAGCTATGTTTAATGCCATTTTATTGCTAAACTCGTGTTTTATAAAAATTTCAAACCCATCACAATTTTAAAGAAAAAAAATCTTTCACTGATATTAAGTTTCTGTAAAATAATTCCAGTCCTCTAAAGAAGACCGAAACAGACAGCTTGCAGATTCAGTGGCATCGCCCTTTAAGAAAACAGTATGGTCATCAACAAAGTTTCCTGCCTGAAAGAGACGAGCAAGTCGAAGAAACTGTTGAGTTTCAAAGAGCTGAGCGGCATCGACAGGCTGCAGGAGCCACTGGAGGTGAGCTAGACGAGCTGATCGACCCCAGCTGGTCCGGACTGGGAGGAAAAGTGGTGGGAGGAAGAGGGGGGGATGACACCCAGGTGCTGCTACCACTTTCTCTTTTAAACCTTTCTGATCCTGGAGGAGCAGCAGCTTGTTTAAGGTCCTGCTGGGGGGGGAAGAGATGCAGCGGAGAAGTCGGTGGGGGGGGAGTCAGCCTCAGATAATGCTGAGGGCTGCAGAAAAAGGCAGGGGCCATCGATTGGTTCTCCTGCAGGAAACAGCCCGGGGAGGGGGGAGGAGTACCCAGCCTGCTGGTCAATGAATGCAGGGAGTGTGTGTGAGAGTGTATGTGTATGTTGAGTGGACCAGCTGGGTGTTTGCTGATGGTAACAGTGATCTGGAGATTGTCGAATTAAAACCACGCAAGGCTGCAGAGCTAATGGCACGGAGCAGTGACACTAAACAGAGAAGGACGTCCAATAGAGTGGGACACCCCTTAGAATGAGACAGAAGTTAGAGTGGACCACCCTTCAGAGTGGTTTACCTGTAAGAATAGGCAATCCTTTAAAGTAGGCAACTCATTAGAATGGTCCATTGTTTGGAGTGGGCCACAAATTGAGTGAGTCAGTCAGGCCCATCATAGAGGGACAACCATCAGAGCGGGCTACCAATTTGAGTGGGACACATGTTAGAATGGGCAAATGTTTTTAAATAGGCTTAGGATTTACCCTCTTTAAAGTAGGCCATCCATTGGAGTTGGCCACCCGTCAGTGTGAGCCACCAATTAGACTGGAACACCCATCATAGGAAGGAAATACCAACAGATTGAGCCTGTTAGAATGGGCATCTATTAAAGAATGCCACCTATTAGAGGGGTCCAGCCTTTTAGAGTGGGATTTAGAATAGCCCACATACTCCCTAGTTTGAGTCACCCATTAGAGTGGAACAGGAGGTAAAAATCATCATAGTGGGCCTGTTAGAATGGGCATCTGTGAAAAGAAGGCCACCCATTAGGGTTGGACACCTGTTAAGGTGAGTCGACCACCCATCATAAGAGGTAAATACCATCAGAGTGGAACGCCCATTAGGTGAGCCACCCGTCAGAGTGGGACAGCCATCAGGGTTAGCCAGTCGTCAGAGTGGGATACCCATTAGGATTAGCCAGCCATCAGAGTGGAACGCCCATTAGGGTGAGCCAGCCATCAGAGTGGGACACCCATAAGGGTGAGCCAGCCATCAGAGTGGGACACCCATAAGGGTGAGCCAGCCATCAGAGTGGAACTCCCATTAGGGTGAGCCAGCCATCAGAGTGGGATACCCATTAGGGTGAGCCAGCCATCAGAGTGGGACACCCATAAGGGTTAGCCAGCCATCAGAGTGGGACACCCATAAGGGTGAGCCAGCCATCAGAGTGGAACTCCCATTAGGGTGAGCCAGCCATCAGAGTGGGACACCCATAAGGGTGAGCCAGCCATCAGAGTGGGACACCCATAAGGGTGAGCCAGCCATCAGAGTGGAACTCCCATTAGGGTGAGCCAGCCATCAGAGTGGGATACCCATTAGGGTGAGCCAGCCATCAGAGTGGGACACCCATAAGGGTGAGCCAGCCATCAGAGTGGGACACCCATAAGGGTGAGCCAGCCATCAGAGTGGAACTCCCATTAGGGTGAGCCAGCCATCAGAGTGGGATACCCATTAGGGTGAGCCAGCCATCAGAGTGGGACACCCATAAGGGTGAGCCAGCCATCAGAGTGGAACTCCCATTAGGGTGAGCCAGCCATCAGAGTGGGATACCCATTAGGGTGAGCCAGCCATCAGAGTGGGATACCCATTAGGGTGAGCCAGCCATCAGAGTGGGATACCCATTAGAATGGTACGCCCATCATATGAGGTAAAAAGCAACAGAAGGGGCCAGTTAGATTGGGCATCTGTTAAAGGCCACCAATTAGCGTGGGGCACCTGTTAAGAGTTGGTCACCTGTTGGAATGGGTAACTGTTAAAGAAGGCCACCAATTAGAGTGGCCCACCTTTTTAGAGTGGGACACCTGTTGAAATGCGTAACTGTTGTAGAATGCCACCCATTAAAGTGGGTCATCCTTAAGAGTGCAGTAAGAGTGGGCCACCAATTAGAGTAGGACAACCATTATAGTGGGACAACTATTAGAGTTGGAAAACCTTTTAGAGTGGGCTACCCAATAGAGTGGGCCACATATTAGGGGGGTTCCCCAGTTGGAGGGACCCACTCATGGAGTGGGCCTATTGTTAGAGTGGGACAACCATTAGAGTGGACCACCTAAAATACATCACAGTAAGACATCATCTGAATTAGGACACATCACTGTGTGAGGCTCATCATGATGGAAGGCCAACCAGGATGGGAACCCTGTTGGACTGCCCAGCAATATATGGAGATATGACACTGGTCATTGTGGACACCAATGAGATCTAAAAGCGGTTCAGATGATTGGGTGGTGATGAAGAGGAGGGTAGGTGATGGGTGAACAGAAAGTCTGTTTTTTTTGTCATTTTTTTCTTACTTTTAGTCTCTGTAACAGCTTACTAGGCGATTATGGAGGAGCATGCAGTGCAGTAATATCTGGTGATTATTGAACATCAGCTAGAATCAGAGGGGCCCGATAGACAGCAAAGGCTACTGGTGTTCAGAAGTTACAAACAGGTATCAGTATAATACAGGTTCACAGGCACTACATTTGATCTCTTCATTACATGGTGGAATATGCTGGTTGGGTTCCAGTGTTCTGGTGTTGGCTCCATGGAAGCTGGGATCTGGAAGGATCGCTGGGATGTGAGCCTCAGCTCGTCCCCGTCAAGGCTGTTAGTCAGTGCATAGTTCTCATGCGGATTGGTCTGCTGCATTGTGATTGGCTGTGGGGAAGCACGATGGGAGCATAGTTCCAGTTTACCACCCCTCCCGATTATCGGCCAGATCGAGGATTGAGCCTCCCCCAACCCCCATCCTCAACCCTTTCCTGATGGGGTAGAAGGGTTCCTCAGCTCCAGGTGGGAGGCTGGGGGTGTCGAGGGATGAACAGGCTTTGGATCAGAACTGGTTCTTCGGTTCTCTCAGCCTCAGTGGGAGATGCTCAGATGTGATCGGAGCTCCTGCTCAATTTATACATCAGCTATAGAAAACCAACGGCTGCTATTTATTGGACTGGTTGCATCTGTTCCGGCACAAGAGCTTCTGGAACTTTTCCAACTAATCAGCAGCACTATTTTAGATCAAAGAATCATCTTTGAGTTTGCTGATCTGTTTTTTTTTGTGTGTGTGTTTCGGTTGATGCAAAGAGAGAACAATTGATCCATTAATGGAGACATTAAAGAGAAGATTCACTGTCATTAGAATAATTGATCCCCGATGGAATCAAAGCTTTGGATCTGCGAGGAAAGAGGAGCAGGAAGTCCGATCACACCGTCCTGCGCTGTAACTCCTCAGCTGAAAGGCATTGCTGAACAGCGGAGGAGGAGTGGAGGGACGGAGAGCGGAGCTGGTGGAGGAGGAGGTGAAGAAAGAAACAGATGGGAAAGAAAAAGAATCATGTTGCATAATCAAGCTGTTTATTTTTCTGCATGGAATGGTGAACACAAAAAAAGATGCCTGGATGCATTTATAGTCGGGGCATCGTTTGGCTGGCTATGTCATCGTCTCCTGCCTAAAATCTAAATTCCTTCAAATGCATAAAAAAAACTCTTTTCCCCCCTCAGAATGACTAAATTTAGCTTCATCAACACTGAACATACAGCATACTGTAACATCCATTTACAATGGTCGGATCACCATGGTGCCCTGGACTTTAGAAGAGCAGGAATATGCTATATCAACAAAAGAAAAGTCTATAAATACATAAAAAAAAAGCAAAAAAAAAAAAAAAAGGAAACAGGGAAGTTTTCAACTTAAATCCAGTTCCCAGGAAGAAAACCAAACCAGTTCTAATAACGTGGCCTCCGTACAAACAGTCAAAAATTCACAACACGACAGTTTCCTCATTTAGTCATTGTTACAAAAGTCCTGCATTAGAAAATAGGGCAGCTTTAAAATCAGTGTAATCAATAAAACTATACAACACAGAGCGACGTCTCTCGGTCAGGCCCTGCGGCGCTGCCCTCCGGCCAGTAGGAGGAGCTCACTCCTTCTTTGCTGCACAACAAACTAATTTAACAGACAAACAAAGGAACGAAACACGCTGCCCAAACTATTGCTTTCACACTCACTTTTGTTTCCTTAAAAACGGTGCAAATTTGGTTGATATCGAACATTCAGCCCGAAAATCGGATTAATCGGCTGACTTTTTTTTTGTGACACTTTAATAAATGTCCGTGCAAATTCTTTAATTTATTCCCTTTGATCGTTTAAAGATCCAGAGGCTTTTTTTTTTTTTTTTTTTACTCATTTTACTCATTATTCCATATTTAGTGCAGATAATTAATGCCCATCTCATGGCTAAAGGGAAGGCAAGAACAAAGGAGAATGGAACCGACCCAAGTGGAACGACACTACCATCACAGTGTTGGAACTGAAATGGAAGGAAGGTCTTAACTGTAACAGGGAAGGTTGGACTTATTAGGGCTGATTTTAGACCAAAGAACCAGTGAAAGCATGGGGAAGCGCTGGTTTATCAGACCAGAACCCTGAAGGGTATCAGCTGGGAAGCACCACAGAAGTTCTGACTTTGGTTTGAAGGAAGGGAAAGAAAACCGACCATAAGAAGGATGAAATACATCTATGAGTGCAAAAGGATATTGCATATTTCACGTCTTGGTTACTCAGATTAGGAACACAGAGCAATCAGGGACAAAGAAACGGGAAGACGATGAAAGTTGTTGCTACAGCAACAGATGATAAACTCATCACAAGGGTTAGGAACAGAATCTAATCTACAAGGAAGGTCAAAATTCTGTCAAACGAGCAGAAAACCTTCTTTCTCACAGCTGCACCCAAAACTGGAACACCATGAGAAATAAAGATGGTTTGATGGTGAAAGTTCTTCACTTTGACACCAGTCATTCATAGACTGGACCTCCTCTGTGTTTCCTCTCCTCAATGTTTACATCCCGTAAACATCTCAAATCTGGTGGTGCCGTTTTTGCCGTGACCCTGTGAGATGACAAGATCCAGCAGAGAGAGGGTCCAACATTTACTGGGAGAGTCTGATTCTTCACTACACTGAACTGGTTGGGACTGGTTTTGAGCTGGAAATGTAACAGAACCAGTCAGAGCAGAAAGATGTTCATCTCCGAGCCTCAGACAAGTACTTCTTTTGATCAAATGTCCCCTTAAATTCCTTCTTATTATGTCAACACTAATTATTTCCACATCATTCGATTTAAACTTTAATTTGGTCCTGGCTTTACAACAGGAAGCTCCTTATGCATCTAAACATCCTAAATACCTTTGATGCTCATCTGCATGAATGTTGCCTTCTAGACCATCATAAGCCTGATTCAAACACCTTCTTCACAACGGTCCCCATCAACTCAACCCTGGTATTGGGGCTCTAGTCAGTCACAACATCCCTGATGTAGAGGGAAATTCAAACAAGGAGACAAAAAGCCAAATTTTGTCTTTCCACATTGGGTCTCACAAGGTCCTTGAGTACTCAACATTGGCGCAAGGCACATCAACGAGGAACGAGTGTGGGACGGATGAAGTAACGTTCTGAACGCTGGGTCGAAATGAAAAAACAAGGGATTCTGGAAAGCGAAGACAGCTGGTAGCTAGAGACAGACGGCGACGGAAAAGGCCTGGATGGGTCCGAAGTAACCGACGGCTGCTTTGAAGTGCCTGACGTTGGGAAGTTTTTACGATATATCGTCTTTTTTTTCTTACTAACTACATCATCTATGGAAAAAACTGTCACTAACACCAACACATGCAGATTTTTTTTAGTTCTTTTTAAGACTTTTTCACGCTAACGCTGGGTTTGTGTGTATTTATAGATATTTATAGAAGAAAGAAAACCCAAACCAAAGAAGAACTGAGTTAAGCTCTTTCACTGACAAACCACGCCCCCTGATTACACACTCACAGCCTATTGGAGGCTGCAGGAGGAAGTGCTTGTGATTGGACGGGGCTCCTAGATGACCCAGCCAATCAAATGGCAGGCTGTTACCAGGCAGATTATCTCACCAGTTTGATTCGTTTCAAGCCTAAAATCTTCTGATTTCGCCTCAGTGGACATTTCGTATGTCTTTCCTGAAGCTTAATGAAGTGCTCAGTGAAATAAATTAATCGCTTTGCGCTTTTTTAAAAACAGAATAAAAATCAGTCCTTAGCTGCACGAGATGCTTAAAAAGCTGATATCTCTGTAATGGTTTAATATATCAAACTACCAGAAGAACGAAGAAGAAAACAGGATGAAAGTGAACATGGCTCCCTTGTGTCTCACTGGGTCGGGGTTTGGGTTAGCCCGAAGCTGCGGGTGGGTTTGCTTTGTTACCCCAGTATTTTAGAGTCCCAGAGGTTTGAGTGGACTAGAAGAAAAATATACATTTAGATATATGATATTTAGTCATCCAACAGCTAGTCAACAAAATTGCACTTTTCCTCATGATTTCACTGTTAGGTGTGAGAGGCGGAGCTCTCTCCTGACTGCCTGGTTGGCTCCGGACCCCCGGAGGTTCAGCCCACCCTGCGTACGCTGCACCTTCACGCAGACAGGTGGATGGATGGAAGAGGAGGAAGAGGAAATGATGGCGAAAAGAGAGAAACCAATGAGCCACGAAGCCAAAGCCTCCAGAGAAACAAGCGCTTGGTGAAACATACCAACAGATCCAGACCACCATTAGTCTGACCCCCACCCCCAAATCGAGCCCCCCAGGCTTAGTTTATGCTGCACTCCTTCCTAGCTTAGCTCCTCCCATCACGGTATGGTCCATGTCCTCAGAGAGAGCTAGGAAAGAGACAGTCTACCCCAGGAGTTGGGTTTCAGCTGGTGTCTCTGGGCCAGGTAACACCTCAGCACCCCATCAACACCGGCCCCACCAGCCCCAGGCTGCAGAGATCCACTGAGAGGGCGGGGGGGTATGGCAGCATGGAGGGCTTCAAACCACCAAGTTCACACTGCAAAAATAATCAGACAGATCGTTCCTCCAAAGAGGAATTTCTGTGATTGAGTCTAAAGATTTTCCCAGAACCCAACGGGTCAATCCTCCCTCCCATTCCCATCAGGGATTGAGGAAAAAAACAAAAAAGGTTCAGGGCTCAGATCCAGCACTACAGATCCACGATCCAATAGAGTGCAAGGAATTCTGGGACAAACAATTCACAGGGTGGGTACGTTGGATCCGCTGTAGCCATGCTGATGCTGCTGAGTCATTTGGTGGTGGAGCCAGGAGCTGCAGGACCGGGAATGGGGTTGACCAGGAACAGGTGAGATGGGCTTCCTGTCACAGCTGGTGTCCAAGGTGGAGGAAGAGACTGCAGCGGTTTATTATAGAGGAGGGTGGCGGCGCCTCAGGAGTCCCTATCCAAGGTACCACTGTGGAGACAGACGAAGGTGTTAATATAAAGTCTCTGGAACTTCTAACAAAACCAACCTAGACCTAATTAATCAAATGACTTTCTATGTTTCGATCACAACTCTGGTTGAAATTCTTGTCTATTAATTGTCAGGAGAACAGAAGCAGTGTTGGAGGCGGCATAGTGCTAATTCTGGACATGTCCACAGTTAGCACCATTCTAGGACAGTGTCTAATAGATTCTTAAGAGGACAATGAGCTATGCTGTATGGTTAGGATTAGTAACGTGCAGGATGGCTCCTTAATGTTGTGTTGGTTGCTAATAAAAAGGCCTAAAGAAGGACCTGCTCAAGGTCCACCATTGGCAAGAAATTCGGAAATGTGTGCAGAAAATGACATATTTTCTATGTACCAAGTACAATAAACGGTGAACAAAATGGTTTCCATGTAAACACAAGCAAAACCAGTTTCAACCCTTTGTCAAACTTTTTCTTAACCTTTCAGAGGCTCAGAGCTCTTGGTTCCAATTTTACTCACTGTTTTGTCTTAAGAAAAATGAAAAAAACAAAAACAAACACATTTCAGCTATAACCTGCAGTAGGAAGAGTCACATTATCAACTAAACCTCTTAAGGATGTTTCAATGGAAAAATTTAATATTTTTTAAAGTCTGCAGTGTTTAATTTTTTCTTGAGCTATTTCAATCCAAAACAAAATGCATGGTTGTTTTAATTTGCATTGATTCCACTGTGGTTCCAAATGCTGAAGGTCTGCCAAAAACGGATTAGTGCATCAGTTTTAAGTAAAAATGTAGACAATAAATCAAAGTCACAGAGAGAAAACCTAAATTTGTTTTTTGTACATTACAAAGACATAGGTATAAAATTAACGGTAAAAAACCCCAACATGTTTAAACATTAGGACAATTAAAAAGGATAGGGGTTAAAATATCTTAGAAACTACAGGCAACAACCTATTTGTGTTGCATCACAGTTGGAAAACAGGATAGGAGGGGGCGCTGATTTCCTAGCAGGGAATTAATCCAGTTTAACAGATAAACTATGTTATATTATATCCATGCATCAGTTTTCTGTCAGGCATGATCCCTTCTGGGGTCACATGAGGTGCTGGTGCCTATCTCCAGCTGTCTACAGGCGAGAGGCGGGGTACATCCTGGACAGGTCATGAGTCCATCGGAGGGAAACACAGAGACAAACAGGACAACCATTCATGCACACACTCACACCTAATGAGAATTTAACCTAACAGTCATGCATGCTCAGGGAGAACATGCAAACTTCATGCAGAAAGACCCGGGCTGGGGATCGAACCTGCAACCTTCTTACTGCAAAGCAGCACTGCTACCCACTGCAGTCTTGTTATATTATATACTATCATTAAAAACATCCTAAACCCTTCTAGTTCATGCCACACTATGGGATGTGGAATTAACTCACAAACACTGAAGACAAGTTCCCTAAAGACTGAAGCTCTTTAAAACAATAAGCTATACTTTTTGAGCAGTTGCATTTATTTTTTTACATTTTCTTTTAAGATTGATTTCAGTGGTCACTTTTTGAACACCATAATGCATTGAATAAATACAAATACTGGGAACTAGTGCTGCAACTAATGATTTTTTGCAAATCAATTTATCTGCCAATTATTTCTTCAATTAATCAATTAATAAATTGATAGCCAAAGATTCCTTAATGAAGTTTTTTACAAAATGAAACCAGGTGAAACTGAAACCTTCCCCTTCAAGAAGATCTGGATAGAGCATATTGACAGATAAAAAAATATATATTTTTACAATGCTGGTATAATTACTGGATTAAGTGGGTTGGTCTGTCAGCTGAAGGCTCATTTTAGAGCCTCTACAGTCCAGCTAACCATTAGTTGATTACTAAATTAGTTCACGATTATTTCAATAATTGATTGATTAATCACAATTAATCCGATTAATTGTTTCAGCCCTACTGGCAAACCAATACTTTTTTCACTTTTCATTAATATTTTCTATTCAGCTACACAAGCATCCTTTTTATAAATGACAGTATACCAGATTCTTATGTACACCTCAGTATTTTTTTGATAGGCTGCATAATGTCCTTCTTTTTAGTGCTATAGAAATTGCCGCCCTAGTTGAAAAGCAGCAGAGTCCAAACAAAACCTTCTGAAGAACTTTTGGTCCAAGCATCCTCAGAAGATCACAGATGGCCCGGCTGTCGGGCGCTCTGCCTCGGGCCCCTGATGGACCGTGGCTGGCGGCAGAGCGACGAAGCTGTTTCCTTCATGAAACCTTCACATTTAGCTGATCTGTCTCTCATCTTAACTTCATTGCCTGGACAAGTTCAAGTTCGTTCCTGTCTTACATCATGTCTGGTTGCCATAGACAACCAGACGGCCTGGGACGTGACTACCATAGCCAAGACCCCCCCAAACCTTTAAAAACTCCCCTCACTTTACTACCCCTCCCTTCTCATCATCACCTCTCTTCCTCAAAATTCCTCTCTGGATCACTTTCTTCTCCCCATCCCACCATGCCCCCCCCCCCCCCCCCCCCCCCCCAGTATTGATTTAAAGTGAAGCCACACATCTGCAGGGTCTTGGAGATGGAAGCAGAGTTTAGGAAATGTGTCTGAGAATAAAAGGCAGTTTAATAAAACTCGGGAGGAGGAATCCTTCCCTCTGTGTGTGTTTCTGTCTCTCTGTGGGTTCCTCTGTGGGTTCCTGAGTGTTTCATTGTGTTCCTCTGTGTGTTTGCGTGCATGTGCGCTGCAGGCCTGCCGTGCACTCAGACCCTCTTGCTCCTGACTCGTTGTAATTCTACTGCTGTGTGTGTGCGCAGTGATAGAAGAGAAGACTGGAAGGTTAGTTTTTAATCAATACAACTTGCTGACGCTGGGACTTTTCTGGCCCGCTCTCTCTTGCCCGCTGTGTGTCTGTGTCTCTCTACCCCTCCACACAGCTGCAGCAGACCCCCCGCCACCCCACCTCTGTCCTGAGAAGACTCTGAAGATGAAACTCTCACCGGGCGGCCAGACAGCTGTAATTCAGACTCTAGAGGCTCATCTCGCACAGCGCTGGAGAAAGCGTGGAGCTTCTACTTCTTGTTGGGTCTAACTAACCTGCAGCGAGCCGCTCCATCCCTGTTCCCGTCCAGAACCCACCGATCCTCCACGCTTTTCTTCTAGTGATCTTGAAAGGAGTTTGTCCTGTTACTGGTGGTTTAATAAACTGCCACGAAAGTACGACAAAGGAGCTTCAGAGTGGTTTAGGACCTGGTCTTATCCGACAAATCATTACAAATACGATCCAGACTTGATGCAGTTTTGATGGAAATAAAACCCCTGCTCTGAGTTCTGGTTCTGATGTTTCTTTGTCTCCAAAGAAGACCATCTTAGTTTCCCACGGTAACCACGTTGCCGACCCGTTTGGGCATGGTGCCCATCCCTCAGACAAAGCAGGAACCATCTGCCTCAAAAGACACTGAGGAATACACAGACTGTCCTCATGGTTACCATGGAGATGGAGAGGGGCGAACAGTTACAACCCCCCCAACAGGGTTCTCAGTCTTTAACAAAGACTGAATGTCGAACATCCAGACTGTGTTAGTGTCACTTAGTAGCACATCTCCATCATTGTCTGACAAACCAGTTCGAAAACAAGAACAAATAAACATCAAACATTTTTCACTTTAAAACACCCCAAACTACTATATAACACCCAATGGTTGGCCTAAAACATCCCAAAATCACCCTGAAGCAAACAAAATATACCTAAAAATAGCCAACACCATCCAGCAACACCACAGCTTACACTGACCTATGCAGCAAGTACCCTAAAACACCTAACACCCTCCTCTATAACACCTCAGAAATACCTTAAATGTACCCTAAAACACCCCAAACATACCTTAAAACACTCCAAAATTACCCTGAAACACCCCAGTTTCTCAAAACTACACTAACCTCCCCACCAAATTACACTGATACACCCCAAAATGATCTGAAAACACACAAAAACGTGTACTAAACACCCAAAATTTACCCTAAAACACTCATTAATCCCAAACAACCAAAAATCACCCTGAACCACCTCAAAATTACCTTAAAACATGTACAGATTAGCCATAAACATAAGCTAAACCACCAAGTTATTAAGCCGAAATACCCCAAATTACTAAAACATTAAAACACCCAAAGAATGACCTAAAAATATCAAAACCTACCAATGAATGCAGGTTTTAAACTATTGTTACTCAAAAAGCTACATTAGAAAAGATTTTTTCTTTTTCTGAAACCATTCAAACTTCCTAAAAAGTTTTATTTTGTGTCTCAGAAAAGCTTTGGGGCTCATTATTGGAAAGATGAAGCATCCTCAAAGGATTGTTCATATATCAGGACTTCTTTTTTTCCAACAAGAAAATAATTTTTTACAGAACAAAGTGGTCTCTTTCCCTGACGGTGACCTTCACCTTCTCAAGACTGGAACAAAGAAACTTTTCCTTCTCCAAGGATGTTGGATTCACCAAATTCCTCATTAATCCGGACAGGAAGAGGAAGCAGCTGCAGCAGCATCTCATGGAGACGGAGGAGGAATAAATAAATAACCGGCTCTGTTTCAGTGACACACACCTGGCCCACGTCGGCCTCTCAGAGGGTGTGTGCCGGCCTGTGACAGGATCAATAAATCGACAGACTCGTTCACTGCAGCCTCCCCCCCCACACACACACAGAGCGATGGAGCATGTCTGAAATGTCAACAGAAGACTCCCAGCTCATTGTTATCTGTGTGTGTGTGAGAGATGAGTTAAAGCATGGCCGACCAATCGCTCCACTCTAAATAAATCAGCTAACAAACACGACCTGGACACACACACACTCAAACACACTGCATGAAAAACAGATGCTGCGTTCACTGACCAGATGAATAGTTTTTTTTTTCAATATTAAAATCCAACATCAGTGATAAAGCTGCTGGAGCGGTCACATGACCTATCACATCACACTATCTGAGTCAGGTAGGCTGCACATTGGTTTTCTGGACTATTATGCTTTGAAACTCAAAGAGAAATACCCCTGACCCACTAAAAGATGAAGAAGAACCCGGCAAGCCTGAGGATGAGGAGCTGGAGTCCAAACCCAGTTCTCAGACCGGACCCAAGGAAGGGGGATGGTGGCTCACAACCCGTTTGTTCCGCCTTCAGCTTCTGCTCCACAGATGTTTTCACAGCTGGTTATCAGGAGGTTTTTAATGATGAAGATCACACCGCGATCCAAAGCTTTTTCTTCTTCATCCTCACTTCCTGGACAGGTTCCTCACCTCTTGAATCACCTGGCAAAAAGCTGAGTTAATCACAGCTCAGCTGTTCTCTGTGGTTCCAGTCATGAACATCCAGAGCCAAACCACATTCCTCCCTGAAACACTTTGCTCAACAGGAAGTAACACCTCCCTGCAGTGAGCGACCTGCTCCACGGGGGGCGCTGCTTTCATTCACTGTGGTTTTTTTTTGACTGACAGATTCAGACCTGCAGCTCTGGGGACATTGGGCTGCATGTTCTGCATTTGGGTCTGTCTGAACCCAGCAGGTGCTACAGAACCGGCTGTGGTTGGGTCTTACCTGTGGTTGCTGAGGGATGTTGAAGCCGGGGTCTCTGGGCCCGACGCTGACGAACCGCTGGGCTGGAGAAGTGGTGGGGGTGGAGTACGCTGCACAGAAGATACAGAGGTGAGTGAAGAGGTGGGCGGAGCTTTGCTGAAGACCGGTCGGGCCAACATCCCTTCAGGTTAAGAAAACTGGGCGGGAATCAGATTTAATCTAAGTTTAAGCTCAGGATACATGTATTAAAAACTACAAATTATTTAATTCGACCAATCAGATGGCTTCAAAAGATCCACAGTTTCTCTGAAAGTTTGATGACTTTTGTTGTTGTTCTGATAAAGTTTTCTAGAAAATCTGGGTAGGAGAACAACAGATGTCAAGGAGCAATAGCAAGACTAAGTGTTTTTGGTCTGGGTCGGCCCGTTGGTTCTGAGGGTTATCAGAACATCCCAGAGTCGATCCGGATTAAAGAGTAAATGTGGAAATAACAGTGTTTATATCCCGCAGGCACTCACTGGGGGAGGAGGGGGAGTTGCCTCCCCCCTCTGTGGAGGACGTGGAGGGCGGCTTGGCGTCGACGGGCAACGGGACAGGCCGGGCCATCGGGGGAGGCGGCGGGGGAGGCAGCATGGGCGTCGGCAGGAAGGGGTTGTGGACTTTCCCCTGGGAGCTGCCGTTGGGCTGAGGAAGAGGAGGAAGAGGAGTCAGGAGCTGAGAAGGAGAACGGGCCAGAAACAGAACCATGCAACAGAACCAGGAGTCAGTCAGTGGAAAGTTCTGATCAGATTAATACTAGACTAGACAGGTGATGCAGGCTGTTTTTTTTTTTTACACAATTTAACGCATTTAGTCTACTTTATTAACCTTTATAATTTAGAAAATCATGATTTATTTTTCTTTTCCACCATAAATAAATTCTTCTTCATTTTACTGACGGCCCCTAAATGAACCACCGAGTGCAGGGGGAGCGAGGCAGCCGAAAGCAGCCGCCCAGGTTACAGCTGCTGACCAGATTCTCTGGGTTACATCACAAACATAAGACGCAGTAACCTCATTTAAACCTGAAGAGGGCACCAAACATAAACCAATGCAGGATTTTAATAACTGTCCACTAAATTAAGACTTCTATGTATACAGTTTATTATGACTATTTCTATAGAAATCAGCAAAATTCTGTAATTCAATCCTTTCTCTTTAAGGGACGTTTTACCTCCAAATAATTTTCTGTTTTTGATTTTCCTTTGGCTATTGATGTAAAGCTAAAAAAATCCTTTTTATTTAAGTATTCCTTTTTTAAATTAGAAATTTATTTGCTTTTCTTAAAGAAAATGTATGACCAGCTGATATTTTCTTCATCATTAATATTTCTTTCACTTTGATTGAATATTTGCTGTGAGTTGGCCTGACCCGGTCCAGTTCAATGTCTAGGGCTTGTTTCTTTGGACCGTTTAGTTGCAAGACTTTAAGTAGGGACCTTAGACATGCTCAAAAGGGGCGTCCTGATGGTAGAGCCGCTTCACAGGAAGGAAGGGAAAGATGAACACTGCAGATGGGCTCAGCCAACAGAATGGTCTGGTTCTGTAGGGCCCGGTCCTAAGGATCCACCTGTCGGATTGACATGCCTCCCTCTGCCTGTCCTCTAACCGGACCGCCCAGAGGTCGGCTGAACAGAGACCCGTGTGTGTGTTTGGTGCATCGATTGGATGTCTAGACCCAGAATATCAGCTGTCAGGCTGAAACCGAACTCGCTCTCTGCCTGCTGCGCTGACCCCGCCTACACACAGGTGTGTGTGTATGAGTGTGAGCTTACGTTGAGGAGGCCCACCTGTCCAGCCTGCTGGGCGGAGTCAGGGCACACCAGCTGGACAAACTCTTTGAGCGTCTCCTGCGGGTGGTACCGGATGGCCGGGTGGGAGAAGTAGGATCCAGGCTGCTGCAGGATGGGGGAGGAGGAGAAGTGGAGGCTGGAGGGGGGAGCGTGGGGGCTCGCTGTGGAGGAGAGGAGACAGGTTAGAGTCGAGGGGAGGAAGGTTAGTGGAGGAGGAAGATTAAAAGGTTAAAGGTTAACATGCAGGACAGTGATGATGGACGGACGAAGCAGAGCAAATGGACCAATGAGAGTGCAGCATTAAGCCCCGCCCACAGCAGCTGTCAGTCAAAGACAAGTTCATCTCGCTCCTCCTCTTCATTCATCGTGTTGCTTTCCTCCCTCCTTCTCCTCTTTCTCTCCTGGCTAATTAAGAACCTGATTGGTCTAATCAGGTCTGATTACTCGTTAGCGGCCGCGGCATCGTTAGAGCCAGTGATGTATGCAGCTGCAAAGAGGAGCAGGAGGAGGAACTCAGAGTGGGGAGGCTGGGCTTTGAGTATGAGGACAGAGAGACATTAGAAATATTAGAGGAGAGAGAAGAAGAAGGACGGAGGGACGGAGAGTTAAAGCTGCTGCACTAATTCACTTAAAGTCGGCTGTGATTTATCACTCTGACAGTCCTCAGCGTGTGTGTTTACAGTAATCACCGAATGGATGGGAGCGCACACACACACCACCACCCCCCCATCCATCCACCTACACACTAACTGAACTGACCTCAGGGTGTTTCGTTTGTTCTCGTTATCTGATGGAGTTCGATAATTCTCCTTTTTCAGGAATCACACAAACCAGATTCTGTCGGGACGAACTGGAATGAATCTGGATTTAAACATAGAGTTTCATCTGTTTATTTTTATTGCTTCTGAAATGAATTTGCATAAAAAAATAAAAATAAAGAAAAAATATGAAGTAGAGCTTCATAGGTTTCCAGCTCGTCTTCAAAGATCAGGCCTTCTGTTTCTGTCAGCAGAACCGAATCAGATCAACTTCGGATCATTCTAATGTGCGACAAAAAGTTCCCGATATCAGAGAAGGGGGGAAAAGCTGGTCTAATCTTCAGATAAAAAAAATCAATATGAATGTTTATGACCTGTTGGGTGAAAGAGAAACTGGTCAGCAGGGGGCGCCCTCCAAACACAACCACCAACAAACAGCCATCATGATGTCATCTGCATGCCAGGAGGTGGGTGGGAGGGGCAGACAGGTGAGGACAGGTGGGTGGGGGGAGAGGCAACACAGACACAGCATCCATCATAAGAGGTGAGGGAGAGAGGAGGCGGGTCACGCACACGGAGACAGGAAGTAAAAAGCCGTGTTTTCGTTTTTACCTTGTCGAGAGATGAACGAGCTAGCTAGAGAGCCGCGCAGCTTATATCCAGCTTTCCACCGCAAGACGGAGGAAAGAGAAGAAGAAGCAGCGTAAATATAAGAGGAGAGACGGGTGGTGAGAATAACACCGAACACCTCAGTCATTTTAACACCATCACCACTGGTCTGATTGCGGGGTCCCCCAAAGTGAGGGTTGGGGGGGTCGCTAACTGATATTTACAATCATCCTGATGTGATCCCTGAGCTTTATAGATTATCATGGAACAAATGTACCATTAAAATAAGTAGAACTAACATTTATTTATTTCTCTAAACATTAAACAAACAAATATAAATTTCAATTAAATAATTAAATTAAACATTTAATAATCAAAATAACATTTAGAATGATAAATTAATAATTAAATGTCATAAAAACAGGAAGTAAATTGATTGATGTGATGTTTTTCTCAGAATAGAGCAGGGGTTCCCAAATATTCGCCCAAAATACATGTACCTATTCTACATATATTACCTTATAAATACAGATCAACTAATTAGATACATTTTTCAATAGTTTTTAATCATTTATTTATCTTATTATTGTCTATTACAGTTAAATAGTGATAATGGTGTCTATGATATTTCACTCGAAACATAAACTTAGAAATTGAATCCAATATGTTGGAAATTAATGGAGCTATTTTACTCTATTTTTACTAATAATTAGCTTAAATAAAATAATAAAACATTCAGTGATTCACAGTGTAAAACAGAGACAGCAGGAGGACAGAAAAAGGACAGAAAAGGGACAGAGTGTCCCTCTTTGCTGAAATAAACCAACAGGCAGATTTTTCTGATCTTTGTTGTCCAACATGGACACCTGTCTGTGTCCTCCTGTCTGGACTTCCTGTCAGTTGTGTTGTAACCTAAACGGTGCCAGCTCTCTAAAAGGTTCTGATAGACCTGCTGAGGTCCGGTCCATTCAGATGGCTGCTTGTGTTCCAGTTAAAAACCACACACACACATAAACACACACACACACATTGCAGCTACAAGCCCCGCCCCCATCCCGTTCCCTGGCAGCATCAGTGGTTCTGCAGCAGCTTCAGTTCTGGGCTGATGGGGGTTAGTGGGGGTTAGATGGCTGTTATTGATGCAGAAGCGGTTGCCGAGGTGACAGCGTACCTGGCTCCACGTCGTGCCAGCTGCTGGCCTGGCTGCCGCTGCCCGGAGACCGGCCCTGACCCGGATAGTAGGACTCCTCCCCCGGACTGTCCACGTCCTCTTCCATGCATTTGATCCTTTTGGCAGAGCTGCAGACAGATGGAACCAGCAGACCTGTTATTGCTGGAGCTTTTCAGAACCTTCTGTCATGCAGTGACTTGTGGGTTTGAACATTTTCACAAACATGTGGAAAGTTTTGGCATTAGCTTTTATTCTCAGGGGGATAAATTAGACCTCAAGGACAGAACTCTGCCAATCGGACCTCTCTGGAAGAGATTACACAAACTATTGAAACAGAAGCCCCATTTACATTACCCCTCTGAAACCGATCCGTGCCTGGTTCGGACCCAGCTTGGATCAGTTAAACGTGGCCAGTGTGGTTCCTTATTACCGTTTACACACCACGCTAGCACGGTTCCTCGCCTCCTACTGACGATCTACGGTAATACAGCTCTCTAGAGGGAATCAAGCAAATCGGCCGTAACATTCAGGAAGTTTGGTTATAATTGTGATATTTCATTGTTTGCGGATAGTCAGGCGAAGAAGGCAACCTTTGGTGAATTTATCTGACAGAGTCGGCTTTTGGGAAGTGGATACGACAGACGATAGTATAATCAGGGCTTACAGACGCAGAAAACAATGACAGAGGTTGAAGTTCATCACATTGCTAAGCAGAATCATCAATGGAAATCATGTGGCAAGGTAGGGAAGCTAGTATTTTTGTGAATGTCTGAAATTTATAGATTACAGAGGCTCACTGTAAGGACATGACGTGGTCTGCTCATGCGCTCTTTATTATCTGAGAACTGTTGAGCGTAAAAGGCATGCAAAACTGAACCAGACGATGCAGATACAACCAAACCACGTTAAACTTGTACTAGTTCAACAGTAGGACTCGGCACGGTTCAGTTGTGGCTCGGTTCTCTGACAACAAAGAGCGCATGAGCTGACCCTGTCATCTCCTATTTACAGTCAGCTTCCAGTAGTTGCCGGCAATGCACATCAGCGAGTTGCTTGCCAACCGCAAAAAACTATCAAAATCTTCTCAACACTAAATTTTTTTAAATGGCTTTAAAAAAACGTGGTGCGACCTTGGATATGGCAGAGACTGAGGCTCTTATTGTAATTTGGAGGATGCTATCAAGATGATGTTGGACGGAACAAAATATAATCACAACGTTTTCCTGCTAGAGAGCAGTAGTACCATATGGCGTCTCTAGGAGGCAAGGAACCATTATAGTGTGACTGGTAAACGTTAATAAGGAACCAAGCTCGGCACTATTAACTGATACAGGCTGGGTCTAAACTCGACATGGATTGGTTTTCAGTGTAAATGGGGCTACTGTTAAACTAGTACAAGGTTAGCGCAGTTCGGGAGTGGCAGCATCATGCTGTGGGACAGGGAAGCTGGTCAGAGGTGATGACCAATCACCTCAAATTCGGAACATTCCTGGAGGAAAAAAGTTAGAGGCAGCAGGAGACCTGAGATATGATAGATGCTTTAGATGACTAACCAGACACCAACCAGAGATGGCCTAGTCAAAGGCTCTGTAGCCATTTAACTCAGTCCAGCTAAATCGAGCCATTTTTGGACCCTCAAAAGTTTCGTGACCTTTAAAATCATGTCAACCAATCATTGTAATTAAAATATTCTGCTGTTAAAGAACCACTTTTTACTTTTTCTAATCATTCAGAAAAAACATAACAAACTAAACCAAAATCTTCGTCTTTTGGGTAAAATCTGCCCCAGCTAGGTTCGGGCCCTGAGCACCAGAACACCAGTCTGATGATGATTCTTGTTACTCCTTAAACCAACTGGATTCTCTGGGAGTATCTGGACACTGAGATGGTTTTCTTATCAAGCAGAACACAGAGGATTTGGATGACTTTAAAGCTCAGAGAACAGAACCAGGTAAACCTGCAGGTTCTGAGTGTTCGGTTCAGCTTTAATTTATCCTGAAAGTTGAGGTTCTGTTGGACTGTTTCAGAGCAGGCAGAACTCTGAGGCGGACCCTCAGGAAGTAACCTGGACCCGGCTCTGATTCATCTAAACATGGTGTGTGGGTGTGTAGATATTTCTATATAGATCCGCCTCCCAGCCTCAAAGAGCTCCTTGTGTGTGGGCGGTCCCCGGGGAAGTGGGCGGAGCCACAGAGGACAGGCTCACTCACAGAGAGAGCTGCAGGGCAGGTAGCTGAGCAGACAGACAGACGACTCCTGCGACGCATCGATTGAGCAGCAGAGGGCGTTTCCACCGCTGCCAGCAACACAGTGGGGTGGGGGGGTTGTTATTCCTAGAGATCTGAGGATGTTTCCAGGTTCTTCTGACCTGGAAGTGATCATTACCACTTCTCTGGTTCTGAAGGTCCAGGAAGGAGTCGAGACCCAGAGCTTAAATCAGTTAGTCAAGTTTCTGTGGAGTTTGGAGAGACTTTTTCTAGGAAGGATCTTCAAAAAATTTAAAACAACCTGTTAGAACTGAGGTCCATCCTCCAAAACCACACAGACCAACAAGTAGATGTGTGAGCTGCAGCGGTGTTCTGGTTCAGGTCAAGCAGCCATTCTTTATAAGGTCAGACCTTCCATCAGTCACAGTGAATCTAATAGGTTCTGAATGGGTTCTCCTTAAAGGTTCCTTCTTGGATGATTGTATTGCTCTGGGACGGATCAGATGGACCCAGATAGTTGGATCAAAAGATCCCCAAACCTTCTTTTTTTATTTCAACAACCAAATTAAATGAGATGAAAATTGAAGGTTAATAACGAGTGAAGAAAAGGGCTTCAGAAAAATAATGTTGTCTCAGTCTGGCAAATCTGCCAGGTCAAGACGTTTCCTAAGGTCCAACCAGAGAAGGTCGACCAAAAGGTTATCCTGCAGAGTATTTGAGGGTGTTATACAGCTGTCTGACTTTTACTGTCAGAGGGTCCAGATGCTAGTAGAAGTGGTGAATTCTACTGCAAACTAAAAAATGTAGCCCACTGTGTTCAGATTGGTTTTTCTGCGTAAACCCGCCTCCAACCCCATCTTCATCCAATTAGAAGGTTGATTCTAGAAGCAGGAAGCTTCCTGACACCGTTTCCTTTTTAACCTTCAAGATAAACAGCACTGAACAGTTTTATTTACCAAGATCAGCTTTGACCCATAATGTGGTCCAGTTCTGGTTTTCTAGGTATAATGGCGAAGGGCCCAAATAAACAGGTGAGTTCTTACCTGGAGGAGGAGGTGCTGGGCAGCGGCCTCCTCATAGCCCCTGGGCTCATGCTGTAGTAGGAGGAGCTGTCCAGGTCAGCCAGGGAAAAGTTGGGCCCAGTTCCGGCTGCAATGGGAGCTGATGGAGAGAGACAGACAGAACACTAAGAACCGGAGAAGAAGCTGGTACCGCATCAGGTCAACCTTCAGAAGAAGACAATCTGAACCGACAACAAAGATGGTTCTTATGGAATCAGGAGGATAATCTGAATCGTCTTCAGACACATGAAATAAGTTTGAACTGAGATCAGAGTTCCACAGACTTCAGAAAGTTCTACAAGTAGATCTCCATCCATCCATCCATCCATCCATCCATCCATCCATCCATCCATCCATCCATCCATCCATCCATCCATCCATCCATCCATCCATCCATCCATCCATCCATCCATCCATCCATCCATCCATCCATCCATCCATCCATCCGAATGTATTCAGAACACAGGTTCTGAATACATTCCCTTAAAGTTGTAGTTCTGTCCCTCCTCAATATGGTTAGAAACTGCAGATGTCTGTTGGATGTAGAGGAGCAGCAGCTCTACTCCAAGGCTCCTTTAGATGGCGGAGTTCTGGTTGGTGGAAAACATCTGATGCTTTGCCTCCTGATCCACAGCTAAGAACCAGAGCAGTTCATCCAGAACATTGAGTTCTCCAGAGATCGTTCCTGCAGACGGATCTGATTCATTTCCTGCAGCTTCCAGCTGGAGGTCCTGAGCACCAAAAGATCCAGATCCTCTGCAGGGATGATGGTCTAATGTTTCCTCCTCTTCATGATCAACAGAGGTGGAGATGGCAGCATGCTGGAGGAGGCGGGGCTTAAATATCTGATGATCTTTGGGAACCACAGAACCTATGAGTGACTCTTGGCCCAAAGTCAACAACTATAGACACCAGAACCTTTAACTGTCAGCAGCCCCCCCGCATCCCCCACTAAACAGCCCTCTTCTTCCTCCATCTGAAAGACAGCCTCTTCTCTCGGTTGTCAAAAGCTTCACTTAGGGAACTCTGCTGAACAAAGGCAGCAATCAGCTTCAAACCCGGACATCCGTCTATCCCCTGGCCTCCAGCTCCCCTCCCCTCCCCTCCCTCCTCTTCATCGCTTTATTGACACTGAGCATGATGGCGTGATGGGATGAAGGGAGGAGGAGGAGGAGGAGTGACAGGACCTGGTGGGTAATTTTCTGCTGAGCTCAGCACTGTGAGCTCACTCCATCTATCTATCACTGTGAGTCCTGCAGACACACACACACACACCTCTGAGGAAAGCAGCCTTGTTCATGTTTCCACAGGGAAAGTGAACATCAGAGAAGAACTGAACAGAATCATCTGGGTTTCACAGGAAGTTTGGGAACTTCTCCAAGGTTCTAACTGAAATGATCTTCCTGCAGAAAACCTCTAGAGTCTCCTCTGCAGATTGAGAACTGGTGCTGCTGTAATGACCTCTGCTGCCTGTAGGGGGAGCTCAAAGCGGTGGCACTTCCTGTTCTGTTCCCCTGTGTCAAACCATCTTCATCAGGTCTTCATCTCTTCACCTTTAAAGCTTTAGTCCTTCCTGATATCTTCCAGGTTCCACGTCCCAGATCCAGACCGGTTCTGGGTTCTAACTCTAGTTCTCTGCTTCTGCCCGATCCCTCTGTAAAGACGTTTTACATCAGAACCTCTTGGACCACAGTTGTTTCTGAGATGATGGTTATAATGAGGAGGAGCAGCGGGGCCCATCTGCTGCTGGCTCCTGACCAGGTGTGTGTGTTGCCCCAGGCAACAGAGGGCAGGATGAAGGAGGGACGGAAGGAGGCTCATTCGTCTTTTCTCAGAGCCAAGTGGGTCATCTGCCTTCCTATGTGCTCCGCCCCTGTGTGTGTGATCTGTGTCGGTGCCAAGGTGCACGCCTGGCCCTGTTTACCGCCGGATCCGTATGTTTGCCTCTAGATGCCAAAGAATGACATGCAGTGTGCTCGCCCCTAAAGGCGTGCACTCTCTCAGCAGCGTGCACTCCTCTGGCATTATGCATTCTCTCACAACATGGACGCCCCTTGCAGAGTGAACGCCCCTGGCAGCGTGCACTCTCTCACAACATGGATGCCCCAAACAGCGTGCACGCCCCTGGCAGCGTGCACTCTCTCACAACATGGATGCCCCAAACAGCGTGCACGCCCCTGGCAGCGTGCGCTCTCTCTGCTGAGTGACGCAGCTTGAAGCCCACCTCCAGCCCTCACCAGGAAGTGAAGCGCAGATGGTTTGTTTCTGGGTGTAAAACTGAGCTGCAGCTGGAAACACGGATCGGTTCTTGGGGTTCCTACACATTTCTTTACAAATAACCCAGATTACAAGAGTTTCCCGTCGATTCAAAAAATGTCCTGAAAAAATGAAAGTGGGTTCTGGTGTTCGGATTATGATACTGGGTCATTTCAGTTCTGGTTCCCAAGCTGGAGCCGCTCCAGTTACCATCTGAGGACAGTGGATCCTACAGTAAATAAAGATCCTAGATGGTCCGATCTGTGGACCTTGGTGTTTTTATCCGGTTTGTCGACAAACAAACAGTTTCATTGGGTTCTTTGGCAGTTCTAGCCAGACCCACTTTATTGGGAATTTGTCCAGTTTAGCTTGAATTTAAAGGTGTCTTAAATCTGAAATTTCTGAATGTTGTTCCAGTGAGGATGATGAAGTGTTGGGTCAGGGAGGACTGTGGATGTCCTGTCTGAGAAATCTGAGAAATGACAAGTCTTTCTTCAGGTATGGACCCAATGTTCTGTTCTCTGTATAGATCTGGATCTCTGATTGCCTTTTATCTGCCTGCTGATCTACTCTTTGAATCAGCTCTCAAAGGGCTTTATTTAGTTTGGTTTGTCAACAATGAATCTTGGATGTGAGAAAACACAAGGACATAAGGAACACAACTCTGAGTCAGAACCTGAATCAAATAGGATCTGGAGGTGCCCATATAAATGACCAACACTGCACTGAATTGTCTCTATATCTTTGGTTCTGATCTATACCTCTTTATCTTCAGTTTCAAGTAATATTTCTATGTCTAGGGCTCAAGCCTATGTCTCTATATCTGTGGTTTCTATCAGTGTCTCTAATACTTTGGTTCCAGATTTAGCTTTTATGTCTTTGGTTCTGATCCACTTCTCTATATCTTTTTGTGCAACCTATGCTTCTATATTCATGGTTCCAACTAGTGTCTTTGTACCCCTGGTTCCCATCTTTTTCTCTATATATGTAGTTTTGATCTATGTTTCTATATCTTTTGTTTTGATCCACATCTTCAAATGTTTGGTTCCATCCATTTCTCTATATTTATGTTCTTGATCCATTTCTATACATAAACGATTTGTCTTTATGGTTTAAATTCAGATTTCTATAGCTGTTCCCGAATGTCTACCCTAACCCCTACAGTATATAGTGTTTGAATGTTTAGTGGATGAAAAAAGTAGTGATCACCTTTCCAAACGATCAGTTAACTGAGCTGACTATAAAAGCCACTATAGTCCCGACACTATATAGTGATTGAGGAGTTAGGGCGGACGTTAGGACACAGCCTGTTAACCAGATTAACTGCAATTAATCAATGATTGAAATAATCGTTAACTAATTTAGTAATCGATTAATCATTAACTGGAGAATAGAGATTCTAAAACATGCCTTTAGCTAACAGAGCAACCCACTTAGAGCAGGAATTATATTAAAATTGTAAAAAACACAAAAACATCTTTGTCTGTTAAGAGGCTCTTTCCAGAACTCCTCAAGTGGAAAAGTTTAGTTTCACCTGGTTTAATTTAGTAAAAAGCTTATTTAAGAAACATTTTACTATCAGATTTTTAATAATTTAATCGAAAAAAATCGACATATAATAACGAACATAATAATACAATAATCGACAGATAATTGATTTGAAAAATAATCATTAGTTGCAGCCCTAGTTGCGACCTATTTCTCTATTTTTATAGCTCAGATCCATGTTTGTCTGTATCTTTGGTTGTGATCTATGTTTAAATATCTTCGGTTTCATTCAATACCTCTATATCTGTGGTATCTATTCATGTTTCTATGTCTATTGTTCTGATCATCTCCAAAGTTGAACACAGAAAAAAGGTGAAGTTTTATGATTAAATACAAACAGTGTCTTAATCAGACGCTAAAAAATAGAAATTGGATTTTTCTTTTTAATCCATTTCAACTGATTCTGATGGAAGCAGCTAAAGCCACCAGGATGGATCAGCAGCTCCTCGGTCCAGGAGCTTTTCTTGGGGACTTCTGTGAGACTTTGATGAGAAAATATTCTGAAGATATATATTTATTCACTAAAGACTGCAGATTATGGAGAGAAATGAAAAACCTCTGAGATCTGGTTTATCAGTTCATCTGTTATCATTTCTCAGGGCGAGCGTTTCTTTTCTGACCGTCTCCACCGTCCTCAGCATCAGACGGGACCCTGAACTCCTGCAGCTGAAGATGAGCTGCAGCAGAGACGGAGGGATGGTGGAGCGGGAGAACCCGGAGCAAGCCGAGCAGCTGCATCTGATACCAGGCCGCTACACACAGCTACACGCTCACACACACTTGCTCTTTGTGTGCTGCTTTAATAGGATATTGATCGACAGAGAGAGATTCGATTGGCCTGCCAGTGAATTGTGTAATGGCTGCACAACGCCAAGGTCACCCGCGGGTGTGTGTGTCTCTGATAAAGCAAACAGTTTCCTCCGTTCACATCATCAGAAGCCGCTGCTGGAGTCGATCCAAGTGAGATCCCACCTGGATTCAGCTCTGGGCTCGGTTCTGTCAGGTGGAAGCAAATAAACAGAAGTGCGTAGAGCAGAAAAGGGGAGGAGTCACTCTCAGCTCATTTTAGGAATTGAGAACATCCCATTGGACCAGAGAGGGTCCCTCCATCTGAATGGGATCTCCGACCCTCTAAGTCATATCAAAGCTACTAATTTGTCCCGACCCGCTCACGCTCGACCCGCCCCCCACTCAGAACATTAAGATGTGGATCAAAGTTCACTCTACTGGAAGTATCCCCTGAAGTTTTCCTGCAGGGCCGGACTTCCTCTGCATCCGCATGAAAGTAGCCTCATATCAGAACCAGTCTAGTATGGAGCTGGGCATCCACTCATGGTTCTCTCTTATGCTGTCAGAACCTGCAGAACCCTACTCAGGGCACAGAGTTCCCTCTGATAAGTGCAAAGAATATCTATATCTATCGTTGTTCACAAAAGTTCAAAGATATTTGGCCAAAGCATTGGTCAGGGTCCACAGAAACATCACAGATGCAGTTATGAGCAACATTAAACCCACAAATATCAGATATTGATATCAGTGATGCAGCAGGAGCAGAAAAGGGATTTAATGTCAGGTTTGATTGGATTCGTCTGCTTAGTTTCATCTTTTTATCATCACAGACTGTTATGATCCAAAGCCCCAGTTAATGACTGCTGCAGATACGCAACGAACCTCAGCCGACCTGACCCCCTACCCCACATCCCTGCAGGATGGACAGGTATGGAACATGGATGAGGCTGCGGTCACCACAAACACACTCAGACCCCGCTGTCTCCTGCACTCTAATCCATAAGTGATTCTTCTTTTAAAGCCGCATCACTGCAAATGTGCTGACCAACACAATACCCCCCCAACACACACACACACATCCGTGCATGTGTGTATCTACAGTATAGGCTGTGCATTTTACCTGCAGAAACATCTTGGAGCTAAAAGGACAAACTGGACAATGACAGCAACATTTGCGTGTTTCCTGGATCAAAGCATGAGAGTGTAATCCAACAAAAAAAGCTTCTACCTGATGTTAGAAGAGAACATCAGCACCTGTGCAGCTTCAGAGGGACAACTAAATCTAATGAAGAGGGAAAAAAATGAATCAAATGAACATCAGTTCAAGAGCTCTGATGAACACAGGGGTGCTTCAGGCTGTGTTCCAGGACCACTTCTCCTTACGAGGCTTGTCCCGATCCGATCCACGTATCGGATCGGGACGCCGATATTGGCAAAAGAATGCGTATCGGCAAAGCATGTAAAATGCCGATCCAGACTGCCGATCCAGTTTAAAAAAAAAAAACGGTCCGTATTTTCCAGTTTCGCCGATTGAAACGATCCATTCCACTATTTTGCGCCGGTGTTTCCCTGTTTTTCATTATTATTAAAACTTACAGTAATACTTGCACCTTTAACTGTTTAGGGTTTTACTGTTCACTGTGCAATATTAGATTGCTATTAATAATTTTGTCCAGTTTGTGTTTATCTCTTAATAAACAGGTAAGTTTGTTGTTACCAAGCATTGTGTTTTATTCAATCTCACCTAATTCAGCTGGCTAGATATTATCAAGAGTACTAAAACCCTTTTCAACATGAGTCTTACAACTAAGGCTAAATACTTTAACATAAACTTAAATACATACTGGGATAGGCTGGTATCGACCAGTATCGGTATCGGTTCGGAAGCCAAAAAACAATATCGGTATCGGATCGGAAGTGCAAAAACCTGGATCGGGACATCTCTACTCCTTACCAGTTATATTTGATAAAGAAACAGCTTATTTATATCTTGTTTATCATGAAGCTTCTCTAGGTCCTTTTAGAAGTGCTAAAATTGTTAGATACTGCAGGTGGCGCTATCCATACTGGCACACAGTGCTGCTGATCGGATAGCAGTTAACATTGAGGCTTAGCCTGTTAAATTAACACTAAGACGAACTTCATTAAATATTTTCATAACTTTTGTGATCATACGTCGACTCAAAAGTGGATGAATGACAGCTCTGTCATGGCCTGTGGGGGTCTGTATCAGTTTCAGAGACACGAAACTCTGAGGAGGGTGGCAGTAACTCTGCCACACAAAATAACTACTATTTTCTGTTTCAAGGCTCTAAACAGGAGTCAGGTGCATTGGGCGGGGTAGGGAGGGCAGCGACGATGCAGAAAAAACAAACCATTACGAGAAATAAAAGTTAAACGTTATTTTCAACATCATCATATGACACGGTTTCACCCCAGTTAGATTGCCACTGGAAACAGAAATGGAGTTCAATCAAACTGCAGCGTCATGTGATTGTGCAGCTCGGTTTAGCTTCTGATCATTTCTTTGTAATGGAGTTAATATTTCAGTTAGATGAACAGGGATAAGCAGAGCTAAAATTGTAGCTAGCGCTGTGTATGTTATTTACAGTCTGGTTCTGATTCCAGCCTAAGCTGAGAGTTAATGGAGGTATAAAAAAAGGCATCTTAGTTGGAAGAAATACAAGACAGATATATAAAATAAAGATATAACAACAATAAATTAATGCAGGATAAATAACAGGAGTAATGGAAAATAGGAAAAAAAAACGAAACAACGCAAATTACACATTGATTGGTAGAATAAACTAAAGCAGGGGTCTTCAACATTTTCCAGGCCAAGGACCCCCAAACTGATGGCGAGATGGAGCGGGGACCCCCTAACTATATATATTGCATTAAATTGTGTTATATCCAACTGGTCCTATAGTCATTCTATTACAGATGGATTAATGTAACAAAATAATTTCTCCCTGGGATTATAAAAGTATTTCGGATTCTGATTCCTGGTTGATGGGACAGGTGTTGTGAATGAAACGGTGCCCAGCTTGAAAGAGCTCCTGTGTGTCACTGAATGTGAGCATTGATGACAGACAGACATCTTCTGCCTCATTTTATCTGTTTGCTACAGTGTGTTGAATTCATGTTAATGTGGATTTAAAGACATTTCAATTAGTGGAAAAAAATGCAGGGGGAATATGAAAAAAAAAAAAAAAAAAAACTTTCGTGACCCCCATGAAGTTCCTGTGGACCCCCTAAGGGTCGCGGACCCCCCTGCTGAAGACCTCTGAACTAGTTTGAAAATTTAAGAAATCCCTAAATAAAATTAAAAAAGGTTATCAATGTAAAAAAAAAAATAAACTGACAGAGATTATAATAATATTTAAAATTTCACTCTGTGGAATATTTCTTGTGCTCTGATGAAGTTGATGATACTGTTTGATGATCTCTGATGGTTACCATGGACACTGACTTAACCTCCATGAGATCGACTTTCACTATCTGAACAATCAGAGTAAAAAGATAAAAGAAAGAACCCGACTCACTCTGAGAGACTCGGACCAGCTCGGCCACGGTGAAAACTCCCGGTGTGACGAAGCTGTCCTGGAATCCCAGGTGACCTGCGGAGGGAGGAAGAGAAAGACACTGATTCTACTGTTCAGGTAGAAACATCTCAGGTTTTCCATGAAGCTGAAGAAAAGCTTGGAGGAAGAAAACCTTGATCAGATCCAATCACAACAAAAGGAAACTATTTCATTCATTTCTTTTTTTAACACAGCACCAAATTACACAGATGTCACTTCAAGGATCTTTATGAGGCAGGAAGATCAACTCAAATCCAGGATTATTGAATCCAGATTGAATTCAGATCGATCCGGTACAATCCAATCACCCAGAGCCGATCAGATCTAATTAACCTCAAAACCGTTCAATCCCCATTAAAGCAAAGTCAGTCATCAGATCATCATATAATAGAGAAAGAAGAAATGCTCTCCCAGGGTTTGCTCTCTTTGGAATGAACCCTGATCCTGAGCAGTCTGCTGCTGCAGAGGAACCAGAACAGGTTCCTGTTTTATACAGGATTAAACACTAAAACCAGCTTGGATCGGCCCATTTCCATTAGTACTAACTCAGCTTGTCTTCACACAGCTCTCCTTGGCTCTAAGAGCTTTCCAACATTTAGTGCCTGTTTTGATCCATCTCTAACAGGACTGATATGTGTTGAAAAAATGACATTAGAAGACGGCTGGCCTCTGATTGGCTGAGGAGTGGAGTCACCTGTTAGCTTTTTCCAACTTTTTATTGTCATTACTCTGTCACAAGTACAGAACAACGACATTCACTCTCGAAATTTAATTAAAAGTTAAAAGCAGCTCATGCATCCCCTTTGGGGAGCAGTGGGCTGCCATTTGCGGCGCCCCGGGGGTTAAGGGTCTTGCTCAGGGACCCAGAGGGTCAGTCTATGGGAGTGGGTTTTAAACTCACAACCTCAGGATTCCAAGCTCATAAATATTCAGCTACAATATTCCAAACTTCAAACCTTCAAAACGCTGGATTCACTGTGTGAGTGAACATCATAGCAAGCTAGCATTGGTAGCTTAGCTTCCATTAGATATTATCTGACTGGTATCCTTTAGGATGATACAAAAGTATTCACTTGTTTATTTAATCATATTTGTCATTTAATGGAAATACAGCAGTTGCGAAAAATGTTTTAAGAATATATAAATGTTTTAAGAATAATATTTTAAGAATGAGAAGAATATCAACGGTGTTTTGCACACATTTGTAATAAGGTTGGGAGATATGTAAGAATGTTCCAGCTGATATTCTTCAGAGGCAATGAGCGATATATTCGCACAGATGACTTTGTACGCAAAGACAATAACATCTGCAGACCCCGCTGCACATCATCTGCACCTCTATTTTTATCCACCTGTGCACTTTGCAAAAACCTAATATGGTAAACATGCTTGTTTTCTTGTCAAAAATGAACTTCCTCTGTCTGGTTCTGGTTTGGTTGTTTTAAAAAACAAACAAAAAAAGCTATTATTTGGTTGGATCAGTTATTTTTTTCTGTGTCAAGTTTAAGTAGATAAATCTCTGCTGCACGGTGGCACCAAGGAAAAAACCTGCAGCTGGAAGGAGTCTGTGTGAACCATTGAAAACAGCATTTTTTGGTTTGTTTTTTGTCATGGGCTGCGATTTAGGTCCAAAAAAAAAAAAAACACTCTTAAAAAAAACAATCACTGAAGGGCTGAGTCTTTCGATGCCGACAGATTCGTCCAATCAACCGACCTTATATTGTAACAGAACACCTATGATTCCTTTCCAGCCCTGGTAGGTTGTGTCACTACTTGATCTGTACTGTAGCATCATCCGTATCAGCAGGTCATTTGTGCATGAAAAACCAGATATACACCCTCGATAAAAAACAAAAACAAAAAAAAATAGGTATTTAAAAAAAAAATAAAAAATAAATAAACGTTTTTCTCCCCCAAAAATAGTAAGTGTTCTAAACGATAATGTGTTAAAGGTTAATCATGTATTTCCTACGGAGAAAAAGGCATTATAATACTTTATAATTTATCACTCATCTGAGCTCAATCTGCACCAGAGATGGAACCCTACTGTACCTCCGGGAGTGAACTTTTTCGGCTTTGGATCGAAACATAAATCTGGCCTTTTTGAATTTTGTATTTTCCTTTCGTGTTAACCTTATGGTACATAGTGCATAATCAAAAAAAAGAAAAGAGAAGAAACAACTAAAATGCAAGTAAATGTATTTTTGCGGACATATTTTGCGGGACTACTCTGAGCATGTCTGAAAATGACGTCAAACAAGCAGTTCAACGGGAAAAAAATGTCAAAAGCATGATATTGTCTCAGAAAAGTCATAGAATTTTTAAAGAGATGTGGTTTAGCATTCTTAATTGATTTAAGGATAAAATATGTACGTTTAATACCATAGTTACATTTTTCATGGTGACCTGGATGAATGCACATGTGCAAGCAGATATCCGACGTCACGGATCGTGCTTCCGGTACGGATCGGGTAGTGACATTTGGATCAGAAAACAGGAACTGGTGTTACACCTTATTCTGTTCCCCATCATATTTTGTGACCCACAAGGCATGGAATATAAAATGTGCCTGCTAAGCGGTAGAGATTGTAAAGCTAACTGTCTGCAACATGGAGCGTCAGAGAGACATCCAGGGACCAACATGGAAAATTCTCTGTTTTCTGTGAATGTACCGTAAGATCTGGGGAACCTTTCAGATGACCTATCATGAAGTCACAGAAGAGCAGTCCACCCTGTTATCTTACTATAGTCAGTAATATAAACTATTTCCCTCTGGTTCACTCGGTCCACTGTCCCATTTAGACCTGAGGAATGTTTCAGAAGATCAGCCGCTGGGTAATGTCAGGTTAAAGGCCTTTAGCAGAAGGCGAGAAGGTCTGGTGAAACCTTGTCTCCAAAAGAATTATTAAAATCTTTCTTCAGAAGGGCAGAAAGAAAGCAGACAGAGCTGATTAAAATGTCCAGCAGTTGGTCTTTGTTGAAGATGTGAGCCGTTACCCTATGGCAGTAGGGTCGAGTCTAGTTAGTCCACTAGTAGACCCTCTGCCTCCTAGGAGCCAATCAGCAGGCAACAGATTCCAGATGTTCTACTATAGTAAAAACAGCTGAAAAGTCCTTTTGTCCTGCTGTTGGAGGTAAAGGTTCAGAGGCGGAGTCTCTGCTGAACAATACTCTACTGTGAATCAAACTGGCAACATAGGAGGAGTTTCAGGGAGCAGATCCTTCAGTGAAACGTGTCTGCAGATGATGGATCTCATGGCTCCCCTGACTGACAGCAGAGTCAGAACATCCAGGATCAGGACCAGGATTAAGGCCTGAACCAGGATCCATAGTGAGGAAGTAAGCGTTTGAGTGTTCCAGGCAGGATAATCGTTTCCAGCTGTGGGTTCCAGAGTGTGTTTGACAGCACGTAGCTGAACTCGGGTCAAGGTCTAACACACACACACACACACAGATAAAACTAGGAGGATATCCTTCACACGCAGAAATCGACCGAGGAATGTGGCTGTCTGTGTGTGTGAGATCAGCAGGGTCACACTCAGGCTGGCTGGCAAGTGTGTGTGTGTATGTAGTTACGTGTGTGTGTGTGTCTATAGTACCATATATGTGTGTGTACCTCACCGTTCTCTGGCTGCTCCTTGATGTCTGATTCGCTGGCCTGGTTGGGGCTTTCTGATTGGCTGGTTTCTGAGGGAAAGCAGAAAAATGCACGATGAGTAACAGACAGCAGCAGCTAAAACACACATACGGGTCGGTGGGAACATGAGCTTACTGACAACTGGAATGTTTCAGTTTTTTTTAACCCTGACAACAGCAGTAGTAGGCTACCAAACATCCGGCCTGTTCCTTCTCAGGAAGAACATGTCTGACTTCCCCTGAAATAGCAGGACCCGAATCTGATCCAGAACCAGGCCCAGTGACTGTCTAACAAGCTATGGAAATAGTTGAGGGTGTCCCTCAGGGTTCCATCTTTGTTCCTGTTCTGTTTACTATTTCTGTCAATGACAAAAAGCAAATATTCTATCTTTAAGCTGATTATGCTGATATATACTGTATTGCAGCATTCACTAAAGAGGATGTGTTTGACTGTTCTTGATCAGATACAGGTTTCTCTTGATCATTCAGAGTGCAGCTTTTATTAATGTTGCACCGATACCGATACCAGTATCGAGCAGAGCCCCGATCCAGCACTAAAATGGTGGTATCGGTATCAGCGAGTACCAACAAATAGGGCACCGATAGCATTTTTAGAGCCAAAAGTTTATTAAACTATTGTCACCCATTCCAGGAAGGCAATAAAAAGTTCTACTGGATTCACTTTGTCTTAGTCTTTTTCCTGCTTTACAAAGGTAGGCAGCAGCTTAACAAAGCCATGATGGCAATTATTTTACATCCAAGTAGTATGCAGTACTTTATATACACACACACATCAATTTCAAACGGATGGTATTGGTATGGTATCGGCAAATACTGCACAGACAGGTATTGGGTATTGGTATTGGGGCGAAAAAATGGCATCGGCGCAACACTACTTTTCATCATCGGTTAGTATTTCGATTAAAAAAAAGTCCAAAAAATATATTCAGTCGATGCTTATATATATAAAAAAGAGAAAAATATGTCAAACATTCAGTAAAACAACTCAGAACTTCCTGGTGGTTTTTTTTTTAGCCCAGCGCCATGATTTATTTGATATTTTTGCCAGACATCAATGTGGATCAGGACCATAAAATGTTCTTTAGCCAGGAGTAGCTGGATAATTCAACAAACAAAACTAAAATAGGGAATCAGCCTGTGGTTTAGTGTATCCAGTAAGCAATGCTAGTACTGTTGCAAACCCCTGATCCATGACACGCCATTTCTAAATTACTGTTAAACTAAATGGTAAAGGTAGATTAAACTAGTCCAAGGAACCAGTCAGATACAGTCTCTTTTGTCAATACATATAAGAAATTAATTTAATGTTATGTCTCCAGTACAGGGGCCATTAATGAGGCAAAGACCAGTTCTATAGGTGGAATGGCCCCTATCAAGTTCCGTTTATGACTCCAGATTTTATTCCTCTATGTGGATCTTTGGTTGGTTCCCCAATTTAAAGTGTTTCATTTGTGCAGACATGAACGCAGCTGTCTTTCTGGAAAGCGGACTAGAACTACTGGTTCCATAAGAACTCTACTTCTCTGATGGTGAACCCTGAAAGTTTGATTCAGACCGTTTTATGTAGCAAGGTTTCTGTTTCTGTTTTAGTAGTATAAAAGAACAAATAAATATTAGCGGTGCGTCTTTCTCTCAAAACCTGAAGCTCCCTGCAACTGACTGCATCAACATCACCCAGCAGACCACTCAGATAATGAAAGCAGGAACCAATTTATGAAATGGTTCAATTGTTTTCTATCGGAACACAGAATCTGATTTCCGGATTTACATAATTTGCATTCCCAGCCCCAGACATGTCTGACCCACAAACAGCCTGATTTTTTTTTTTTTTACTTTACAGGGAGGTTCTGGTTGGCTTGGAGTTTCTCTGAGTGAAAAGTAGCTGGACTGCTCATCAGCAGATATGAACCAAAGTGAAGCAACTCTAGGTGTGAAAACACCCTTAAAGTTTTGGTTTTAACTGTTTGTCGTGAGGTTCTGCAAAGGTACTGGTACCAGTTTCCTCAGATAGCTGTCAGATCTACTGGATACTCTTACACCTTTATGTTGGTATCTTAGTTTGGATCATTTAGGAACCGCCTGATAGAGCTGATGAATGATCACGTCTCCTGTTGGTTTTATTACTGATCCCACACCTGGAATACAGCATTCCTGTCTAAACCCGTCCATTAGACACCTCCATGTCTGAGACAGCGGTTCTGTTGAGGTGATCTGTTTCAAGCAGTCTTCTCAGCAAGGTTGAACACAAGTTAACAGAAGTTCTATCTTCTGGTCCTGACTCTGGCATCTGCAGCTTCATCGACACACAGCTGATCCATATATTCAGCTGAAAAGAATCATTAACTCACAGCTAAACATTGAAAGAACAGAATCTTAGGAAGATCCAGCAGTTCCTGTCCTTTCTGCTGCCAGAACTTCCTCCTCCGGGAAGTAACACCGCAGGGAGAGTTCCTGCAGAGGAAACTTTCAGTGGATCTGCGGAGAACATGCAGGATAAATCAGCTCTCCTTCTCTCTCCACTCCTGAAAATGATTTAGCAGCTTTAGTGGCATCGATCGGCTGTGCTGCAGATAAAATACTGAAGGAGGAAGAAATATTAGCCCTGGTGCTCCTGCAGCCGTGACTCAGGAGGGGCTGAGAGCTGCAGGAGGTCCGTTCTCCAGTTCTCCTCAGAATCGTAGAGGATCCAGCATTTTTTAAACTCTTTTCTTCTCCCATTTTATCCCATTTGTTTCCTTAAACCCTCTTAATCCTGTTATTGCACCTGATCACCACCAGGCTGCGTCCTTTGTTCAAACTCTCAGCTGTTCTCTAAGGACCCCCTAACCCCCACCACCCCCTGTACTGAGACAAAGTGCAGCATTTATCAGCCTTGTTTGCATGCCGCTCACCATGTCGTCCTGCTTCAGCTGCTTAAAACAAAGAGCATCAGCCCGAAACCACGGCAACGGGGGGTGGTGGTGATGGGTGGGTGCTGGGGGGCATTTTCACACACTCCCTCCCCTCATTCATCAGTCAGCAGGTTAATTAAATATGCTAATGAGGCGTGGGAGCAGACCGGACTGTCTGCCTACACCATCCCAACCTGCATGGGGGGGGGTCAGACCATCTGCATACATGAGACCAGGACTTCATCCCACCGATAAAATTCTGAATTCCCATTAAGTGTCAGAACTATTCCTGCTGTTTTCTTTAATCTCTTTCCAGAAAGTCTGCAGGATTTTTGCCCAGACGGGTCAAATGCAGGCAGCGTTTCTTCAGGGTGAGACGAAGCCTGGTGACGTTTGGTTCAGATGCAGATCTGTTCTCCGCTGAAACAAAGAGGTCAGATGGTAAAGAAGGGAAAGTTCTTGATGCGGCCCAGTCTGACTGTGGCTGGACGTCCGTAGATGGGAGTTCATCAGGTTTCTGTTCCTGGTGTTTGATGAATATTATTGCTTCAAAGAAAAGAAGCAAACAAACGGGTCAGATCCAACTGTTGTTGGATATAACTGGAAAAAACTAAACAGGTTCTGGTTCCTGTAGAGGTAGGAATCTCTATGCCTGACTACAAATTTTATTGCTGCTTCCTTCGATATGTTTATAGCGCTGAAACAGAGGATGTTAAAATTTGGATTCTCTAACCAATGAAGTCTTTTTCTCCCCATCGCAGGTTGGAGCAGATTGGTTCTTTTTTAATCACTGCAGAGTGAAGTTAAAAACGAATGAAAATCATTCAGAAGATAAAAACCTGTTCATGTTTAGTTTATTTCATTGTTTTCAGCCGGGCTTCAGTTAAGCCACTTAAAGGGAAATTGTGCCCGTTATCTCTATGCTTGTGTAATTTCTAAAAATAGCTGCTGTCTTTCCAGCTCTTTGAATGTTATTAAATAAAAATAAATTTACGTCTGGGTTTGATTTTTTACATTTTAGGTAAATAATGAAATATAATAATGCTAATTTCAAAAATAATTGTTTACCGTCTGTTTCTCTTCTGCCTTCATGAACTATTGTACTTCTTTCATTCTGCATTTCTTTTTATTTCTAAGAGCCATCGGAAAAGTTAATGACATTAAGTTAAAGACTGTAGCTTCTAAATTTTTTTTTTACAACAATACGTTTTTCAAAGAAATGGGTTTAACTCAGTCTTTACGACTTCACAGACTATGCTTTATCCTGCCATGGTTGCTAGGCAACAGCGATCGCACTGAGGTAAGGGTAGCGACAGCTGGTGAAGGCTCTAGGTAGATGGCGGCTCATTTCTGGACTTTGGCAGTCCTCAAAGGATCCGGTCTTTGTTGGTCAGTTCCTTTTGATACAGTTCCTGACTTTAGCTGTGAAACATCCCAAACCAACAACTTCTCTGATTGCTCATGTAGAGATGCATCGATCCAGTTTTTTTCCGATCCGATACCCGGGCTGAGTGTATCGGCCGATATCCGATACCTATCGGCCGATATACGATACCGATCCGATTCAACTGTTAAATTAATGAACCGTACATCTCGCTATGTGAGTGAAGACTTTGGCATAGACATAAACATTGTTAAAACAAAAAGTAACAACACAGATATAAATGTGCTAGGGCTGCAACTAATGGTTATTTTGCAAATCATTAGTTAGCAAAAGGTTACTTAAAGAAGATTTTTACAGAATTAAAGCAGACCAAACTAAAACTTTTCCGCTTGAGGAGTTCTGGATAGAGTATATTGACAGATGAATATTTTTTTTTATCCTAAATGTAAAATGTTTTTATATTTTTTTTTTTTTTACAATTTTAGTATAATTACTGCTCTAATGATGGGTTGCTCTAAAGGCTTATTTTCGAATCTCTATACTCCAGTCAACGATGACTCGATTACTAAATTAGTTGAAAATCATTTCAATAATCTATTAATCAGGATAAATCTGATTAATTCTCTCCTAAAATGTAAATTATTTTATTTAATAACAAAAAAGCACCAAAAAGAAAAAGAAATAACAGTTTCATGCAATGTGCACTGGATTGGATCTCCAATATCCGATATCAAATCACTAGCTACGTTTACATGGACACAACTAATCGGATTGAAGGCCTGATCAGATCAAAAATGTTTCATGTAAACATGTCAGACTGAAGATTCTAATCCGATTCGGTCCGATCGGATCTAAATTTAATTCCGAAAGAGAGAGGTGGTTTTTGCCGATCGCCATTCCGATTGGCGTCCATGTAAACACCCATTCGGATCTTAAGAGTAAAATAATCTTCACTGCGCATGTGTGCGACGTCAGCGTGACGTTTTTCCGCCTTGTCAACAACAGGAAACCACCGGTTGCTCTCGCTCTCGCTGTGAACAACATGGCGGGAGGAGTCTAGGAACGCCGACTTATACACTCAAGTTCATTTAAAGCTGCAGGAAGCAGGAATTTATCCTCCTCCTCTTCCTCTTTTCTCTCTCCACAGCCCACTCGCTCTCCCACGCTGGTTCAATCGCTCATTCTCTACATTTTCTCTCGGACATTTCGCTGCCAAGCTCTTTTTTCCTCCTCTCTCCTTTTTTCTTTCCGCTCGCTCCGAGCGCATCGTTTGTCAGGCCTCCCAAAAACCAGACGCAGACAGAACTGCCAAGTTTGGCAGGAAGTTCTGCGCATGCTTAAAAGATTTAATCTGATCCAACGCTTGGTACATGTATACACACATCATGATCGGATCATTTCATTTAGTGTCCATGTAAACGGAGATTTTGAATTTCCGATCAACCAAGGTTTGGATCGGATCGGGGAAATTTTGCGCATGTAAACGTAGCTAGTGATATCAATCCGATCCAGCTAATTAGTCAGTATCAGAGCCTGATCCAGGTATCGGATCGGGGCATCTCATGTCTAGAGAAATGTCAAACAAAAGGTTAAGTAAGGTTTTCCCATATGTATCCATGACCCTGAGCTTGGATGATGAGATGATCAGATTAGAGATCAGCTGCGTGCCACCATCAACCTCCAATATTTAAACACAAAGAAAGGCTCCACCCACAATCAGTTTCAAACCTTGAAGAGAAGTATGCAGCATCCAATAGGTAGACCGAGGCTCCACCCACCAGTAAAATCATTATTAGGTGGATCAGTTCCAGGTGCTCAATGGGTGTAGCTTTATATCTCTGTATCTTAAAATGGAGCAGAACCAATGCTGGGCCTGGCACCAGGTGACAAAGCAACTGTACGGTTGGTCAAGATCACAGAGCTTTAGGACCAAAGGAGGTCAGAGTTAGATGATGGTTCCAGATTGATCTATAATCCTTAAATTCTTGAAGGTGGAACAGCCTCTTTGCACTTCACCTGGTCTCTGTCGTCCAGGTGGACCTGCCTCACCTGATGGAAACAACTGGTAGCGACCGGAACTACAGCAGACCTGACACTGCAGCGTAAGGTAATGAACTTCCTGAGCACATTAACAGTCCTGATGAATCACAAGCAGAAGAATCAGATTCCTGGACTCATCAGAAAGGAAACGGGTTCTTTTTATTTTCATCCAGCACTAAAATTTGACCCAAATATGCTAATTATTAATCCTCGGTATCAGAAAAGAAATGTGAAGCTGGTGCCGATTGGATTAAGGTCGGATTTAATCAAAGAAAATGGGTTGCTATTTATCATCTATAATGGCAGCAAATGATTTTACATATTTCTTTCTGAAAATATTTATATTAAAAATATGTTTCTATGCAATATATTATAAATGTTTCCTTTATAAATGGAATATACTGTTGTTACTTTTATGATTTGAATTCCAGAGCTAAAGCAAAGCTGACCCAGTTTAATGGAAATTTTTAAATATATACTGAGAGTATTTGATCAAAATTAGACTCCGGACAGAGCGATGATGGAGAACCTGATCCTCCTGATCCTCTGCCGTTAAAAGTTGTTTTCAAGAAGATTTTTCCGGGGTTGGAACCTGCCTGGTTGGATCCCAGAACGCCCAGTGAAGGTTAAGCTGCTGATCCAAACCTCTCTTTGCTTTTCCTCATTTATCAACCTGAACATGTTTGTGAAAGAAACCGACGGCAGCACATTCATAGAACCCGGACCGTGAAAAAAGGTTCTGATGTTTGGGTTTCCAGGCAGAGCTGCAGAAGCACCGTGAACTCTGGTGTGCACCGGCCAACAACACACACACTCATTCAGACCGTTTCAGGATCATCGCCATCAGCAGACGCCATTTTCTAAAACCCCCCCACCCAAACACACGGATATACAAACACGGCCTCCCCCCCACAGAGGCGGAGCAGGGTGTTTGGGTTACTGTGTGATAGAAAATGTGTGAAAGCGAGAAGGTAACTGTGTCAGTGTGTGTGTGGTTTTTGGCAGCAGCTCCTTGGCAGCCGCTGGCGCCTCGCCGTCCAACAAAGACGTCGGCTGCAGGATGAAGCGTCTCGTTGTCAGCAGCGTCTCAGACATTAAGCTTGGTCTGTTTCACTCATTCCCGTTTCAAAGTAACAAACCGACTGAATCCCACTCTGCACCCAGCTGGCGAGCCACACCCAGGTGTCTGTCTGCCTTCTCCTGGCAGCCATCTTAAAGCTTTGGCAACCATTTTGGAGCTTCTGTCGGCTTTCTTTAAGCTTCTGCCACTCGCCACCTTCTGCCAGAACAAAAGAGCTCATGCCTTTACACCACCCCCAAACACACACACAAACCGTTTTACCAACACGCTCTGCAAACCCACCGGGAATCCAACAGACCAGTTAAAGTTCTTGCAGCTTCTGGTAACAGCTGCAAGAATATGGCTGACCTCTGACCTTTATCTGACTGAGAGGTTTTAAAGCAGAGGCCATATTTGTAGCTTTTATAGTGAAAAGTTTTCACCCTAAAGTTGAAATAAATAAAAGCTTGAATGGAGCATTTTAGAACCCCCAGATCCCACCTGCTGGGCCTCATCAGAACCACACCATCCTGGTTATGAAGCTTTTCCATGGATGGATTTTAAAGAGCCTTCAGACGATGTGTTGAGAATCAATGACATCAAAACTAAACTGAATGAAACTAGGTTACAATTAGCTTTTCGAAAACATAAATTATTTGTGGATCAGTGATTCTATGTTCCTTTTGTGAGTCATTTCTTCTCTCCTTGAACCCCAGTCGGCATCGGCAGATGGCCGCTCACACAGAACCTGGTTCTATTGGAGGTTTCTTCCTGTTAAAAGAGTCTTTCCTCTCCGCTGTCACTGCATACATGATATGGTACGTAGTGACAGTGAAGGGATTTCTGAAGAATCAACACCAAATTAAAAGCAAATATCTGCTGTTTCCTCCTGCTCATCCAGAATAAGTGAATCCTGTAAAGCTGGTGACTGAATGAAATCAGCTGGTTTTCCTTAGATAGAAAACTTTGAACCGATCTGACTGTATGATCTGGTTGAATTCTCTCTGTGAAGTGCCCCGAGATGATACATGTCGTGAAATGGCTCTATATAAATAAATTGAACAGAATTAAATCTAATTATTAGTAAGAAGGCAGTGATGACCGGCAAAATGTCTTCACTTTAGTTCAAATGGTCCTCGCTTTGCTGATGAAACTGGAAAAGAGGTCCTTACTCTGATGCAGAAACAGCAGCACACAAACACATCCACCATGTTGAAATACTTAATGAGGAACTTCCATTGACTTCAATCCTACTTCCATGACCCAACACTAACATTTACCATTATCAACAAATACCTAAATCTAAACTCAGTTCCCACCTTAGTCCCAAACCTAACCCCCACCTCAAGAAGAGAACTTCTCATCGTCGCTGGTCCCCACTAGTACTTTTAAGTCCCCAAAATGTAGCATGTTTCTGGTAAATTGTCCCCAAAAAAACATGGTAACAGTCACACAGTGTGATAATCCAGACTGTAGTCTACAGCGTAATATACTGTAAACCAACGGTGAGTGGGTGTGTCTTATCCAGTCAACCCATCAATCAATCAGACCATTCATAGACTGAACAGATTGGACCAAAATGACATGCATCTCTGCATTTAAAAAAAATACTTGAAAGCAATATTCATCTTTAAGGCCATAGCTACAACTTTATTATTAAAACAATTACACACACACACACATATAGTTCAAGTCTAATATATATTCATAACTATTTACTACTGATTAAGATGCCAACTTGATGCAAAAGGATTCTGCAAGATTTTCAGCATTGGTGCTGACTTAAAGTGGCATAGTTATGTTAAATAACTAAACAAGAAAAAGTCCAATGATGATCAGAACAAAATAAGCCTATAATAACGGTTGTGGACCTTATAGAGCTCTCAGGCATCCAGAGGCCATGAATCTGGATTCAGAGTTTCTGTATTTCTGCAGCTCATGCCACAGAGAACAACAGCATCTCTGCAGCTCTATGTACCTCCCCTCTATCTCCTCCTCCTGCTCTTCCTCCTAAAAACAAACAGGTCTGGAATCTCATTGCGCCTCAGAAAGTGGAACCACATCAAACGGAGCTTTAATCCGTTCTGGATGCAGCCGTCCTCTTTACTATTATTAGAGGTTTGAGGAGAGACGACGTTCTGTTCCAGCTTCATGTGTTGATGAAGAATCTCTAGATCCTCCTCTCGGACCTCACACTGACAGCCACACCAGGTGACTCACCTGCAGCTTTATGGAGGCAAGTCTGGATCTGGACTAAGGTGCATGTCTGTTTGGACCAACAATACCGGATACAACATTTTAGCAACATGTCCGAACATGTAAACACCTGACCCTCAGTTTGATGTGACTGAGGTGTGAGGAAGAGCAGGAGGAGGAGGAGGAACATGTGTTAAGGACGAAGCTTGTGTTCTGCAGCCTTCAGGACCTCGGTGTGGAGAGGCAGTGAAGGGGAAAGGTCAGAGGTCAGAGAGTGTAGGCGGAGCGGTAACCGAAAGCTGAAAAAAGTGGAATCACATCTGATGTGACGAAGAGGAGTTCCTCCGCTCTGCAGGATGAAGATGAACCTGCCTTAATAAAGTCTCAGGGAAACACAGACGAGCAAGGAAGACGGCGAGGAAGAGGATGCCGATGAAGACGAGGAGGTGGGAGAGCGCGAGTCCAATCCCATCCTGCAGAAAATCAATGGTAATGGCTTCTCTGCAGCAGAAGCTTCAACTGGAATTAGAAGCAGAAAACAGACGATTGGAGAAGACCGGCGACCGCACCCCCCAGCCCCCACTGCACTGAGCACCGGCCACCCGGCCCACTTCCATCACAGGCTTTCAGCTGATCACTGGGGGGAGTGAAGGAAGAATCAGGAATATTCAGGAACGGCCCAGGAGCAGGGAGGCCTTCCTGAAGCAGGTTCTGCTGCTCAGAGGTCCTGATCCAATGATGCCTCTAACGAGTAACATAAACCCAGAGATACTTTTGGAAGGTTCTGAACTCTTAGTCAGTTTCTCCTGTAAAGAAACCAGAAGAAAGGACCATAAGGTAAGAACCAGAACTAGCTAAGCTCCACCTTAAAGTTCTACCAGGAGGGTTCTGTGAGGGGTTCCATCAGTAAATCAACAGTACCATGACTCTGGAGGCAGTCAGACCCACTGGACTAAGCTGAACCAGCCAGACGAGATGTTTGGCCCAATTGGGTCAGAGGTCCTGGACCTGACAGGAAATGTGCCGTTTATTAGCAGGGTGTTGGTTCTGACTGAGACTTTGACCCAGGAGGATCTCCAGTCGGTATCACTATCACCTGTGTGAGGGCACCAGTACCACTCAGCCCTGATAAAGGGGCCCGAATGGGCGGAGGCTCGTCTGCAGGGGACCAATCAGAGGACAGAATCGGGTTGTTTCATTCAGGTGCAGAAGTTCAGCCCAAATTCTGATGGTTCAGTTAACTTCAGTTAAAACCACATCAGAGAAAAAACTAATGAAAACATAACAGAACCATGAAGAAAACATTTGCACCAGTTAATGGATCCAGAACTGAGCGGCTGCAGCTTCAGAAACAACCTGGAATCGGACCGGACTGAGCAGCCGGACTGGATGAAGAAAAAAAACATTGGCTCAGTCCGGTTTTTACAGCTTCATCAGTGAGAGGAGGAGGAAGAGGAGGGTCAGAGTACAGCCCCCCCCCCCAGCAGCAGAAACATTCCTGCTCCTGCTGGGCTCCTAATCTGCTGCATCATGAGATGGGGGGGGGGGGGGGGTTCTCATTATTATTCCTACTGCGGTGACTCAGCCCATTTAGTAATGGAGAGCCCCGGCCACCTCAGGATGGAGGGAGCCATTTCTCACCCCCTCACCCCCCCACCTCACATATTTTAGATATAAATTATCCTCGGCACTTACAAGCTGTGGGGGGGTGGGGGGTTCAGGAACGCTGCAAGGTCACACTGAGATGTTTGAGACGGACCAGAATAAGCGAGGAAGAAGAGGAGGAGGAAAACGTGTCACAGAAGGGAAAC